TTCCACCTGTGTCCCCTAGTGCGTGTGCCCCTTGTGTTAAATAGCCTGTCTTTATCTACCCTGTCGATTCCCTTGAGAATCTTGAATGTGGTGATCATGTCCCCCCTAACTCTTCTGTCTTCCAACGAAGTGAGGTTTAATTCCCGTAGTCTCTCCTCGTAGCTCATACCTCTCAGCTCGGGTACTAGTCTGGTGGCAAACCTTTGAACCTTTTCCAGTTTAGTCTTATGCTTGACTAGATATGGACTCCATGCTGGAGCCGCATACTCCAGGATTGGTCTGACATATGTGGTATATAATGTTCTGAAAGATTCCTTACACAAGTTTCTAAAGGCCGTTCTTATGTTAGCCAACCTGGCATATGCTGCTGATGTTATCCTCTTGATATGAGCTTCAGGGGACAGGTCTGGCGTGATATCAACCCCCAGGTCTTTCTCTCTCTCTGACTCTTGAAGTATTTCATCTCCCAAATGATACCTTGTATCTGGTCTCCTGCTTCCTACCCCTATCTTCATTACATTACATTTGCTTGGGTTAAACTCTAACAGCCATTTGTTCGACCATTCCTGCAGCTTGTCCAGGTCTTCTTGAAGCCTCAAGCTGTCCTCCTCTGTCTTAATCCTTCTCATAATTTTGGCGTCGTCAGCAAACATTGAGAGGAATGAGTCTATACCCTCTGGGAGATCATTTACGTATATCAGAAACAGGATAGGTCCAAGTACAGAGCCCTGTGGGACTCCACTGGTGACTTCACGCCAGTCTGAGGTCTCACCCCTCACTGTAACTCTCTGCTTCCTATTGCTTAGGTACTCCCTTATCCACTGGAGCGCCCTACCAGTTACTCCTGCCTGTTTCTCCAGCTTATGCATCAACCTTTTATGGGGTACTGTGTCAAAGGCTTTCCGACAGTCCAAAAAAATGCAGTCCGCCCATCCTTCTCTTTCTTGCTTAATCTTTGTCACCTGATCGTAGAATTCTATCAAGCCTGTAAGGCAAGATTTACCCTCCCTGAACCCATGTTGATGGGTTGTCACGAAGTCTCTTCTCTCCAGATGTGTTACTAGGTTTTTTCTCACAATCTTCTCCATCACCTTGCATGGTATACAAGTTAAGGACACTGGCCTGTAGTTCAGTGCCTCTTGTCTGTCACCCTTTTTGTATATTGGTACTACATTAGCAGTCTTCCATATTTCTGGTAGGTCTCCCGTTTCCAGTGACCTACTATACACTATGGAGAGTGGCAAGCAAAGTGCTCCTGCACACTCTTTCAATACCCATGGTGAGATTCCATCCGGCCCAACAGCTTTTCTCACATCCAGCTCCAATAGGTGCTTCTTGACCTCATCTCTTGTAATTTCGAACCTTTCCAAGGTCACCTGGTTTGCTGCCACCTCTCCTAGCGCCGTGACTTCTCCCTGTTCTATTGTAAAGACCTCCTGGAACCTTTTGTTGAGTTCTTCACACACCTCTTTGTCATTCTCTGTGTACCTGTCCTCGCCCACCCTAAGTTTCATCACCTGTTCCTTCACTGTTGTCTTCCTCCTGATGTGACTGTGTAGTAGCTTTGGTTCGGTCTTGGCTTTATTAGCTATATCATTTTCATACCTTTTCTCAGCTGCTCTTCTCACACTAACATACTCGTTCCTGGTTCTCTGGTATCTCTCTCTACTTTCTGGTGTTCTGTTATTACGGAAGTTCCTCCATGCCCTTTTGTTCAGCTCCTTTGCTTTCATACATTCCCTATTAAACCACGGATTCTTCCTTTGCTTCTCTGTTTTTTCCTGTCGGGCTGGGACAAACCTGCTTACAGCCTCCTGACATTTTTGGGTGACATAGTCCATCATGTCTTGTACGGACTTGGTTCCGAGTTCTGTGTCCCAATGTATATCCCATAGGAATTTATTCATCTCCTCATAGTTTCCCTTTCGGTACGCCAGCCCTTTGTTTCTCAGTTCTTTTTTGGGGGTGATAATTCCTAGCTCAACCAGGTACTCAAAGCTCAATACACTATGATCACTCATTTCCAAGGGGCTTCCAACTTAACTTCCCTTATATCCGACTCATTTAGGGTAAATATCAGATCAAGCAAGGCTGGTTCATCCCCTCCTCTCGTTCTTGTCGGTCCCTTGACGTGTTGACTTAGAAAGTTTCTTGATGCCACATCCAGCAGCTTAGCTCTCCATGTGTCTGGGCCTCCATGTGGGTCTCTGTTCCCCCAATCTATCTTCCCATGGTTGAAGTCTCTCATGATTAGTAGCCTGGATCCGTTCCTGCTAGCCACAGAAGCTGCTCTCTCTATTATATTGATGGTGGCCAAGTTGTTTCTATTATATTCCTGTCTGGGTCTTCTGTCATTCGGTGGGGGGTTATATGTGACTACTGCTATAATTTTCTGTCCTCCAGTTGCTATGGTGCCTGATATGTAGTCACTGAAACCTTCACAGTTCTGAATTACCATCTCTTCGAAACTCCAACCTTCTCTTAGTAGCAAAGCTACACCAGGCATGATAAGATTATATGCTTTTCTATATGTGTGAAATTATACTTTTCATGTGTATTAAATATGAAAACCAATCAGTCTGTTTGTCTCTCTATGCAACTCCCTGTGTAGGTTAGGGCTATGCATAATATTATTTTTAATTCCACTAACATGATGCTGAAGTGTAAATTTTATAAGATCATATATTTTCGATAATAACTGGAGGAATGAAGATTCTTTAATGTATGACATTGATGATATACGTACACAATAAAGTGAATAGTCTGCACCAATAGGAATTACTAATCCTTACGTGCGGACATCAAGGAAATGTAGTGAGGATGAGCAGATCAGCAGGGAGTGAGCCCTGGAGGCGGGGGATATGACCCTCAGTGTTGCCACTACTGCCAGCCGGCTGCACTGTGTCGGCTGCTTTATGATCAGTAAAATGGTTTTACCAAGGTTTGGGTTTTCAATATCTAAGCGATAAAAAAATAGTCGTACTGGAAGAATAAATTTACTTTTTACCCCTAAAATAAAATTATATAAATACCAAATGCATACAGTTTTCCTCCGGATTAATGGTGCGATAAACTAGTGCAATAAATATACATGCCTAAAGAATATATATATTGTTTTTGTTATGTGTGCATACTCACCTAGTTGTAGTCACATAACTGTGCTTGCAGGGGTTGAGCTTTGGTTCTTTAGTCCCGCCTCTCTACCATCAATCAACTGGTGTACAGGTTCCTGATTCTATTGGGCTCATCATATCTACATTTGAGACTGTGTATGGAGTCAGCTTCCACCACATCACCGCCTAATGCATTTCATTTATTAACTATATGATACTAACACAAATCTTTTTAACGTCTCTAGGACTCATGAGAACTGAGTTTCCACTTGTGTCCCCTTGTACGTGTACCACCGGCGTTAAATAAACCGTTTTTATCTACTCTATCAATTCTTCTGATAATCTTGTATGTGTTGACCACGTCTCCCCTAACTCTTCTTTCTTCCAGCAACGTGAGGTTTTGTTCTCATTAGTCTTTAATCGTAGCTCATGCCGTCAGTTCGTATACTAGTCTGGTGGCAAACTTCTGGACCTATTCCAATTTAGTCTTCTGCTTGACTAGATACAGTTTCCATGCTTAAGCTGCATACTCCAGGATTGGTCTGACATACGTGTTATATTAGGTTCTAAGTAGTTTCTAACTCAAGTTTCTAAAGGCAGTTCATATATTGGCCTACCTAGCATAGCCCGTTGATGATATCTTGTTGATGTGGGGCTTCAGGGCACAGGTCCGATGTGATGTCAACTCCACGATCTTTCATCCATATTCTTGAAGGATTTAATCTCCCAAATGGTACCTTGTATCAGGACTCTTGCTCCTTACAACTGTCTTTATTATTATTACATATATTCGGGTAAGCCATTTGTTGGACCATTTCTTAGTTTGTCTAGATCATCTTGTAGCCTCATGCTATCCTAATCCTTCTCTTTAATTTTGGCATCGTCAGCAAACATTGAGAGGAATGAGTCTATACCCTCTGGAATATCATTTACGTATCAGAAACACGATGGGTTCGTGTACACAACCTTGTGGGACACCGCTGGTGACTGCGCCTAATTCTGACCCCTTTAATTTTAATTCTCACCCCTCACAGTAAACCTCTGCTTCCTATTACTTAGGTACGCATTTATCCACTGGAACACCCTGCTATTACTCCTGCCAGTTTCTCCAACTTATGCACCAGCCTCTTATGGGGTACTGTGACAGAAGCTTTCCGGCAGTCCTAGGAAATGCAGTCTGCCCACCCTCTCTTTCTTCCATAATCTTTGTCACCTAGTCGTAGAACTTTACTAGATCATGAGGCAAGATTTGACATCCTTGGACCCTTGTTGGTGGTGGGCTACGAAGTCCTTTCCTTCCTGATCTGCTACTAGGCTTTTTCTCACAATCGTCTCCATAACCTTGCATGGTATACAAGTTAGGGACTGTAGAAGATTGGTGTCTCATGCCTGTCGCTCTTTTTGTATATTGGGACTACATTAGCTCTCTTCCATATATCTGGCAGGTCTCCTGTTTCCAGTGACTTGTTATACACCATGGAACGTGACATGCAAAATTCTTCTGCACACTTATTTAGTGTCCATAGAGGGATTACATCGGGTCCATGTCCAGATCTAACAGATACCTCCTAAATTCATCTCTATGTAATTTTGAACCCTTCCAAAACTGCCTGGTTTATGACGACCTCTAACAGTTCAGGAGCCTCTTCTCGTTCTACTCTGATGAGTTCCTGGAATCTCTTGTTTGAGTTCTCCGTGTGTAAGTTCTCACATGAGCTTGATCTCGTGTGAGTTCTTCACACACTTCATTGTCATTCTCTGTGTAGCTATCCTCACCTGTTCTCAGTTTCATCACCTGTCTTTCACTGTTGTTTTGGTTAACATAGCCTCAGAGGAATCTGGGTGGGGGTGGGGGGAGGGGGGGTTGAGCCAAGGGAAGAGGGGATCATGAAGGGTATGTGGTGAAAGGGGGAGGAAAGGTTGGGTGGACAATTGAATGGGGCTCGGGTCGAGGAGGGTTTCTTTAGGGGATTGTTGTATTCCTTATACAACATACAATAATATACGTATTATGCTTTTGGGGTGCTGACCTGCAGGTAGGGGTTTCCCACTCTCCGTGTGAGTGGGCAAGCATGGGGGGGGGGGGGGGGAAGGGGAGTTCAGGACTGTAGTCCCCCGGTTCTCTACTCTCTCAGCGAGCTTCTACCTAGCATCTGCTGCCATGATTCACTCGTTATCAGGGCTCCCAACTTACCAGGGATCCACTTATAAATACAACAAAATATAACAATCAACCAACAACCAGAACACCAGCAGGGCACCACACACTATCGTGCTGCAACTTGTGGCTCAGCACTTAAGTCAGATCACTCACTGGAGATTCACCCGGCAACGAGCTAAACTACGGGGAAGGGGCTTGACGTCACTATGGCGGGAACTCGGCTCATAAATCACCCGTTGTCATGTGTTCACACCCAACTAAACAACGGTGACTTTCCTGTTTTCTCCTTAACTCAGGCACCCGCCTTTTAGTATACTATTGTCCCGTCTGTATGTACTTATATACACTATACTTCCATACGATCTCCATTTAACAAAATATTCATCACTAGGCTGCTGCTTGCTCTTCCTTATCAATTGGCTGTGCAGGAGTCTCTTCGCCATCTAAGCTCGGATTCCACATATCAATTAATGATCATAATGAACAAATACTCTCACCTCTTTTAACTGCATTAAATGCACAAACATATATTTATTCCTCTCACAACCTCACACAGACGACCAACCAGTTCTCTTTATTACGTCTTGTAGATTAATTTCCCTAGTTAGCAAACAGGCTTCCTCCCTGCTGATTGATCTTCCCTCAAACCCATAGTATAATCACTCATCGGTTGGTCCTCGAGTAAGTATAAATTTCTTATAGCTCCCATAAACGATACTACTTCCACCAAGTGCGAACTGCGTCCACCATACATGAACCTGCAAGTTTACCTTAACAAAATAATCTCCTTCCATAATCAAGTATAAAATGGTTAAAATATAACTCACCCTAAAGTGGGTATAAAATTTTTAAACTAAAACTCCGACGCCCGATAGTCATCAGCCGGTCCCCACTGAGGAGGTACTCCCCTCTCTGGGCGAGTCCACACCGAGAACCTCCACCTGCAGGCGAGCCTCTTTATTCAACTACCGACCACCATTGTGCGAGTGTGTCTCTCTCGCCTTTATCGTGCTATTTTATCTTAAGTTCCTTATATTATTTTATTATCACTACATGCATGACTATTTTGCACTCGTGAACCTCAATAAAAGATCATGGGCACTTATCTTCTCTGCACTAGGCAACTTATGGTAATTAAAGGCTCTTACTGAAACATTGCAGGAATGACGACTCTTGCTGCACCACGTCAAAATGGTGCCTTCCGGGTCGCCCACAATTCTTCCTTTGACTGGCACTGTCGACTTCTCTAAGTCTTGACTTGAGTGTGGGGTTAAAGCACAGGTACAACTCAGTTTACCTGCCAACAGATCCCCTTCAAAGATACACAGGCCTCATCTTTTGGTCTACCACAGTGAACCATCAGGGAACGACCTCCCCCCCCCCCCACACAGGGGCCTGACAGCTTAGTGGATAGCGCTCGGGATTCGTAGTCCTGAGGTTCTGGGTTCGATCCCCGGTGGAGGGGGAAACAAATTGGCCGAGTTTCTTTCACCCTGATGGGCCTGTTCACCTAGCGGTACATAGGTACCTGGGAGTTAGACAGCTGCTACGGTCTGCTTCCTGGGGTGTATAACAAAATGGAGGCCTGGTCGAGGACCGAGCCGCGGGAACGCTCCGAAATCATCTCAAGATAACTTCAAGAGGCTCCAGGCCGCCCTCCTCGTCGCCACTTCGCAAGACACACCACAACTCTTCGTCTTACTGCTCACAACTCTTGTTTCTTTCGAGGATTCCTGTAGATTCCTCTCCATAACATCACAATATTCTCGTTCCTCTGGAGCGATGAAGTTCGTGCTCTCCCTCTGATCTCCACATTAGCAAGTGACGTCGCATCTGCCTCAATTTTTCTTCAGTAATATCCAACGACAATGTCTTGTGTTAAATAATTCCTCCAGAACCTCTGAAGGACCAAGTGAGGAATAATTCTCACTGGGGCAGGGCCTACATCACGAGGCTATATGGGGTTCATAACACTAGTCCCTTGCCATGTCTCTGTGAAGGAATACATTTTTAAATCCCTTTATGCATAACAGTTGGCACTACTTTGTTATTCATAAACGAGACCACAAAAGACGAACAAACATGAAGAGGAACACGATCTTCATCATTCGAGCTCTCTCTTTCTTGTACCAGCCTAGCCAGAAAGCCTCTTCACATTTTCCCGCACCCTCCAGCTGTAACACTTTTTAACATCTATCACTGGAGCTCTGTCCATAACTTTCCACTCTGCCTGATTGGAGCTTTATTGTTCTTTATAGCCTACTACTGCCACTGATCTTTTCTTGTCAGAAGCTGATTAGTGCACCTGCAGACGATGAGTCAAAGTAACATGGCGTAAGATATGATGACCAAACCACACAACAGAAGAGGAGAAACGACGACATTTCGGTCCGTTCTGGACCATTATAAAGACATGATTTGATAATGGGCCAGGACGGACCTTAACGTCTTTTGTCCACCATCTTATGATGTGTGACTGGTGCACCTTGCTGCCTCCTGTGATGTGGTGGTGTCCTTCATGTCTTCTTTCTACAATGTGGTCACTGACGATAGGGTATTTTGTGGTATTTCTACATTGTGGATTTCTGTTTAAGCCCTTTCCATTGATATATGCTCATCTTCTAGCCGAATGATTGTTGTCTAATCGTGAGCCTGACTAAGGTTTTCTTTGACGACTTTTATCTCCTCTTTTGCTGCCCTCAACGCTGATTTCCCACCATACTTGGGTGAATATCTCCCTAACTGGGTTACCCCAACCATCCCTTACACCTGCCACTCTTCTCCCTTCCATGTTTGATCATTTTCCCAAGTTGAGTAACTCTCTTTCACTTTCCCAAGTTGAGTAACTCTCTTTCACTTTCCCAAGTTGAGTAACTCTCTTTCTCTTAACTTTCTCTCTCTGTCTCTCTGTCTCTCTCTCTCTCTCTCTCTCTCTCTCTCTCTCTCCTCTCTCTCTCTCTCTCTCTCTCTCTCTCTCTCTCTCTCTCTCTCTCTCTCTCTCCTCTCTCTCTCTCTCTCTCTCTCTCTCTCTCTCTCTCTCTCTCTCTCTCTCTCTCTCTCTCTCTCTCTCTCTCTCTCTCTCTCTCTCTCTCTCTCTCTCTCTCTCTCTCTCTCTCTCTCTCTCTCTCTCTCTCTCTCTCTCTCTCTCTCTCTCTCTCTCTCTCTCTCTCTCTCTCTCTCTCTCTCTCTCTCTCTCTCTCTCTCTCTCTCTCTCTCTCTCTCTCTCTCTCTCTCTCTCTCTCTCTCTCGGGGTTCTCTCTCGCTCTCTTGGTCTGACTCTTCTACCAGGTCTGAGGCTCTCTACTTCTCTCTCTCTCCTCTTTCTCTTCTCTCCTCCCTCTCCTGTTCTCTCGTCTCTCTCTCTCTCTCCATCTCTCTCTCTCTCTCCTCATCTCTCTCTCTCTCTCTCTCTCTCTCTCTCTCTCTCTCGTCTCTCTCTCTCTTCTCTCTCTCTCTCGCTCTCCTCTCTTCTCTCTCTCTCTCTCTCTCTCTCTCTCGCTCCATCTCTCTCTCCTCTCTCTCTCCTCCATCCTCTCGTCTCTCTCTCAAGTCACTTCTCCTCTCCTCTCTCACCTCCTCCTCTCTCTCGTCTCCTCTCTCTCTCTCTCCGTCTTCTCCTCTCTCTTCTCTCTCTCTCTCTCTCTCCCTCTGTCTCTCTCTCGTTCTCTCTCTCCTCCTCCTCTCTCTCTCCATCCTCTCGCTCTCTCTCTTCTCTCTCTCTCTCTCTCTCTCTCTCTTCTTTCTCAGAGAGAGAGAAGAGAGAAGGGATGATGGAACGAGGGAGGAAGGGAGGTTGATGGAGTGAGGGAAGGAAGGAGGTGGGAGGAGTGAGTGGGTTCAGTTTGGGATGTTTATGTGAGTTGGTGTGAGTGTGCGAGCTTGGGGGGTTGGTGGGTGGCTGTGAGTATACAGAGTGAGATGGGTGTGGGAAAGAGGTGAGAGGGGCTGTTTATAGTCTCGTAAGATTTATTGTGCGGGCTTTTGAGTTATGGCCAAGTTTTACTGTGATATTAAATATCACCATAAACCGTATGATTGACTTAAAAAGTACTTATCAGCCAAGCTATCCTATCATCTTGACTGCACAATTAAGGGGTTTACAAACCTTTGTTCTGTTAGTCGCGAAGTCTTCTGTCGTAGGTGGGCCTCTGGTCTGAATCACTTCACTGCCAGACATCTTATTCACACTCGTTCATATCTCACTCTACATGTCTCACCAGGACATATGGTGAGAAATGTGTCTCACCAGGACATGTGATGAGACATGTGTGTCACCAGGGTATGTGGTATTTTCCTCCCAATAATATTGTTTTAATCCTTCAATTACATGTTTTGACTTCATTGCTCTTGTCTTCACTAGTACTATTATATCTCTATTGCGATGCTATATATCCGTGGCGGAACAGTCGCCCAGATTCTCTAGTGGACTGTATGATTCTTTAGTGGACTGTATGATTCTTTAGTGGACTGTATGATTCTTTAGTGGACTGTATGATTCTTTAGAGGGCTGTATGATTCTTTAGTGGACTGTATGATTCTTTAGAGGACTGTATGATTCTTTAGAGGACTGAATGATTGTTTAGTGGACTGTATGATTCTTTAGTGGACTGTATGATTCTTTAGAGGACTGTATGATTCTTTAGAGGACTGTATGCTTGTTTAGTGGACTGTATGATTCTTTAGAGGGCTGTATGATTCTTTAGTGGACTGTATGATTATTTAGAGGACTGTATGATTCTTTAGAGGACTGTATGCTTGTTTAGTGGACTGTATGATTCTTTAGAGGGCTGTATGATTCTTTAGTGGACTGTATGATTCTTTAGAGGACTGTATGATTCTTTAGAGAACTGTATGATTCTTTAGTGGACTGTATGAGTCTCTAGTGGACTGTATGATTCTTTAGAGAACTGTATGATTCTTTAGTGGACTGTATGATTCTTTATTGGACTTTATGATTCTTTAGAGGACTGTATGATTCTTTAGTGAACTGAATGATTCTTTAGTGGACTGTATGATTCTTTATTGGACTCTATAATTCTTTAGAGGACTGTATGATTCTTTAGTGAACTGAATGATTCTTTAGTGGACTGTATGATTCTTTAGTTGACTGTATGATTCTTTAGTGGACTGTATGATTCTTTAGAGGACAGCATGATTCTTTAGTGGACTGTATGATTCTTTAGAGGACTGTATGATTCTTTAGAGGACTGTATGATTGTTTAGTGGACTGTATGATTCTTTAGTGGACTGTATGATTCTTTAGTGGACTGTATGAATCTAATTTCCCCACACATATCTCTTCTTCACAGGTTGGAGGATTTAAATATACTATACAAAATCGAATTTAATAGTTTGATATAAAATTCACTACTAATAGTTATTCTACTATGCCAAACCTAACCTAATCTTACCTATGCCAAACTAGGTTAGTAACATAAATATATGACCTTAGCTATTATGTAGAATGTTGGCTGGTTAATAAGCAATAGACACATCTACGTAGCATGAGCTGAGTCTCCCTGTGGAGACTTTTGTTTCACCTGTCAATTAGTCACATCGTAATAATCGTATTAATGACGGTTATATCAGGGGCAAGATATATATATAGATAATTATATCTAATTAATTTAAGTTTACCCGTTCCGGGTGGCCCGCCATGCCCATAACCGGTCAACCTGAATGTTTAATGGCCACAAATGATAAGATATAACAGGTCAGTCGGGTTCAGAACACTTCCCTTATGGCTAGCGAAGTCGTGTTGACAACATGAGATTCGGGCGTCCTTCAACGCTAATATTCCTGGCAAGTTTTCATGGTCTTGTGCTCGTGTGCTCGCAGGCAAGACTTGATGCTTTCAATTAATCGTGTCTCTCACTCCCATTCCAGGGGACGTGTCCCTCACTCCCATTCCAGGGGACGTGTCTCTCACTCCCATTCCAGGGGACGTGTCTCTCACTCCCATTCCAGGGGATGTGTCCCTCACTCCCATTCCAGGGGACGTGTCCCTCACTCCCATTCCAGGGGACGTGTCCCTCACTCCCATTCCAGGGGACGTGTCCCTCACTCCTATTCCAGGGGACGTGTCCCTCACGCACATTCCAGGGGACGTGTCCCTCACTCCTATTCCAGGGGACGTGTCCCTCACGCACATTCCAGGGGACGTGTCCCTCACTCCCATTCCAGGGGACGTATCCCTCACTCCCATTCCGGGGGACGTGTCCCTCACTCCCATTCCAGGGGACGTGTCCCTCACTCCCATTCCAGGGGACGAGTCTCTCACTCCCATTCCAGGGGACGTGTCCCTCACTACCATTCCAGGGGACGTGTCCCTCACTCCCATTCCAGGGGACGTGTCCCTCACTCCCATTCCAGGGGACGTGTCCCTCACTCCCATTCCAGGGGACGTGTCCCTCACTCCCATTCCAGGGGACGTGTCTCTCACTCCCATTCCAGGGGACGTGTCTCTCACTCCCATTCCAGGGGACGTGTCCCACACTTCCATTCCAGGGGACGTGTCCCTCACTCCCATTCCAGGGGACGTGTCTCTCACTCCCATTCCAGGGGACGTGTCCCTCACTACCATTCCAGGGGACGTGTCTCTCACTCCCATTCCAGGGGACGTGTCCCTCACTACCATTCCAGGGGACGTGTCCCTCACTCCCATTCCAGGGGACGTGTCCCTCACTCCCATTCCAGGGGACGTGTCCCTCACTACCATTCCAGGGGACGTGTCCCTCACTACCATTCCAGGGGACGTGTCCCTCACTCCCATTCCAGGGGACGTGTCTCTCACTCCCATTCCAGGGGACGTGTCCCTCACTCCCATTCCAGGGGACGTGTCCCTCACTCCCATTCCAGGGGACGTGTCCCTCACTACCATTCCAGGGGACGTGTCCCTCACTCCCATTCCAGGGGACGTGTCCCTCACTCCCATTCCAGGGGACGTGTCCCTCACTCCCATTCCAGGGGACGTGTCCCTCACTACCATTCCAGGGGACGTGTCCCTCACTACCATTCCAGGGGACGTGTCCCTCACTCCCATTCCAGGGGACGTGTCCCTCACTCCCATTCCAGGGGACGTGTCCCTCACTCCCATTCCAGGGGACGTGTCCCTCACTCCCATTCCAGGGGACGTGTCCCTCACTCCCATTCCAGGGGACGTGTCCCTCACTACCATTCCAGGGGACGTGTCCCTCACTCCCATTCCAGGGGACGTGTCCCTCACTCCCATTCCAGGGGACGTGTCCCTCACTACCATTCCAGGGGACGTGTCTCTCACTCCCATTCCAGGGGACGTGTCCCTCACTACCATTCCAGGGGACGTGTCCCTCACTCCCATTCCAGGGGACGTGTCCCTCACTCCCATTCCAGGGGACGTGTCCCTCACTACCATTCCAGGGGACGTGTCCCTCACTACCATTCCAGGGGACGTGTCCCTCACTCCCATTCCAGGGGACGTGTCCCTCACTACCATTCCAGGGGACGTGTCCCTCACTCCCATTCCAGGGGACGTGTCCCTCACTCCCATTCCAGGGGACTACCATTCCAGGGGACGTGTCCCTCACTCCCATTCCAGGGGACGTGTCCCTCACTACCATTCCAGGGGACGTGTCCCTCACTCCCATTCCAGGGGACGTGTCCCTCACTACCATTCCAGGGGACGTGTCCCTCACTCCCATTCCAGGGGACGTGTCCCTCACTACCATTCCAGGGGACGTGTCCCTCACTCCCATTCCAGGGGACGTGTCCCTCACTCCCATTCCAGGGGACGTGTCCCTCACTCCCATTCCAGGGGACGTGTCCCTCACTACCATTCCAGGGGACGTGTCCCTCACTCCCATTCCAGGGGACGTGTCCCTCACTACCATAGGGGACGTGTCCCTCACTCCCATTCCAGGGGACGTGTCTCTCACTCCCATCCAGGGGACGTGTCCCTCACTACCATTCAGGGGACGTGTCCCTCACTCCCATTCCAGGGGACGTGTCCTCCCATTCCAGGGGACGTGTCCCTCACTACCATTCCAGGGGACGTGTCCCTCACTACCATTCCAGGGGACGTGTCCCTCACTCCCATTCCAGGGGACGTGTCCCTCACTACCATTCCAGGGGACGTGTCTCTCACTCCCATTCCAGGGGACGTGTCCCTCACTACCATTCCAGGGGACGTGTCCCTCACTCCCATTCCAGGGGACGTGTCTCTCACTACCATTCCAGGGGACGTGTCCCTCACTCCCATTCCAGGGGACGTGTCCCTCACTACCATTCCAGGGGACGTGTCCCTCACTACCATTCCAAGGGACGTGTCCCTCACTCCCATTCCAGGGGACGTGTCCCTCACTACCATTCCAGGGGACGTGTCCCTCACTACCATTCCAGGGGACGTGTCCCCAGGAAACGGTTCAGTCTTTGTGCTTTAATTCACTGTGTCGGGGGACAGGCAGTCAGAGTGTATTTATACACATTAGGTTTTTATCGAGGTTCCCCCCCCCCCCCCTTCCTCCCTGGGGTCGAATTACTGACCCCACCCAGGATGCAACTCCACAACAAGCTGACTAACTCCTCAGTACCTACTTGCTGCTAAGTGAACAGCGCATTACGTGAATGGAAATATGCCAAATCATATATGTCCCGCCTAGGATGGGAATGGGAATTTCGACAATGGGAACGTGTCGTTTTTTTTATTTGTGATTTAATTACATCCAGGATTGGAGATTTTTTTATATATTCTGGTCTGCAGACTGGCGTTTTAAAGATTATTGGATATAAATTTTATAGGTAATTAGAAATTAGGTAACTTGGCTAGAGGTCACATTTTCTAAGAGATGCCACGAAACCCAAATTTCTTTACATGATTATATATAGTAATTATGTTTTCCGACATAATTTCAAGGTGGAGAAACACGGGTCGGAGTCCACTATTTAGAAATGACGAACCCTGGTAATTCTCCTCAAAATTATTAATTAAATTTGATGTTAGTAGTTAGTTGCACATTTGTGCGTCAGTTTGTACAAAACGGATGTCCCGTACTGGAGTTGCAGATATGGGAGCTCTCTAGGTGACTCTGTTGCATTCCAACTTAATGTTAGTGTTAAGGGAGGGAAGAGGGAGAGTGGAGGGAAGTTAGGGGGAGGGAAGAGGGAGAGTGGAGGGAAGTTAGGGGGAGGGAAGAAGATGATACGGATGTTAGCGCAAGAGAAAATGGAGAGTGGGGGGACAACAACAACAATTATCAGGAGAAAGTGCCAAGCCATTACGACTGTATAGCACTTGGAAAGAGGATGAGAATTAGGATGTAAAATAGGACGAAGAAAAGGAATGATGCACAGCCACTTGGACGGTTGTGAATTGAAAGCCAACCTGCATGACGCTCTACCGTCCAACCCAAGTGGAGGGGGAGGGGGAGGCTACAGGAGAGTGAGAGGGGAGGGATGTCAGAGACGGGAAGAGGGAGAGTGGAGGGATGTTATGGAATGGACGTTAAAGAGAGTGGAGTTATGTTTTTAGGAAGGAAAGTGGGAGAGTGGAGATATGTTAAGTGGAGAGAAAGGAGAGAGTGAAGGGATGTTAAGGGAAGGGAAAAGGAAGAATGGAGGGATCATTAAGGGAGGGAGAAGGGAGGGAATTATCAGGGGAATGCACCAAGCAATTATGACTATATAACACTTAGAAGAGGTCAGGATAAGGATTTGGGATGGGACAGGGGAACGGAATGGTGTCCAATCACTTCGACGGTCGGGGATTGTTGGCCAACCAGCATGAAGTCGCTCTACCGTCCAGCCCAAGTGGGGGTAATGGAGGGGGGGGGGGTAATGAGAGTGGAGGAATATTAGGGTGAAGGAATATGGAGAGTGAGAGGTGTTATTGGAGGGAAGAAAGCGAGTGGAAGAATTTTAGGGGGTAGAAGAGGGCGATACATATTCCCGCCCGTCTCGCTATCCTATTTCACATTCTCACCATGCCCAAGGGTACGCTTTATATTGTCAGAACACTGAGTGGAGCTGCCCACCCTACGGTCGCCTTTGAGAGTGCATGGAAGCCACCCCCCACCCTGGCACTTGATCCCCACCCTCCTTGAGGTTATCTTGAGATGATTTCGGTGCTTTAGTGTCCCCGCGGCCCAGTCCTCGACCAGGCCTCCACCCCCAGGAAGCAGCCTGTGACAGCTGACTAACACCCAGGTACCTATTTTACTGCTAGGTAACAGGGGCATAGGGTGAAAAAAACTCTGCCCATTGTTTCTCGCCGGCGCCCGGGATTGAACCCGGGACCTCAGGATCACAAGTCCAGCGTGCTGTCCGCTCGGCCGACCGGCTCCCTACGGTCACCTTTGAGAGTGCATGGAAGCCCCCACACACCCTGGCACTTGATCCCCACCCTACGGTCACCTTGGAGAGTGCATGGAAGCCACCCCCCCCCCACACCCTGGCACTTGATCCCCACCCTACGGTCACCTTTGAGAGTGCATGGAAGCCACCCCCCCCCCCCACCCCCCACCCTGGCACTTGATCCCGCCCTGCGATCACACAATAACTTTAGGAACGGTGTTGCCATCTTTTTAACTATTTTATTTTCGTTTGTGTTGGAGCCAGACGCTGCTCTCAGAGCCGACCTTTGACAGCTGGAACGATCTCATCGGATAAAACAATGCTGTAAATATGTTGATGCAAAGAGAAGCCGCTTCGCTGAGTCACAAAGAGAAGCCGCTTCGCTGAGCCACAAAGTGAAGCTGCTTCGATGCATCAAAATTCAATGTTTTAATTTTCAGAGCGCTGTGTGTCGAACTTGAAAGGGTCAGAGATAAAACTGTTTGGTGTATTTTGTTTAACGCGTTTAATACAGCCAAACTGATAGAAGAGGAAGGAAATTATTAGGGGGGGAAAGAGTCAAGCCATTACGACTATATAGCACTTGGAAAAGGTCAAGATAAGGATATGGGATGGGACGGGGACAGGAATGATGCCCAACCACTTGGACGGTCAGAGATTGAACGTCGACCAGCATGAAACGAGACCGTCGCGCTACCGCCTATCCCAAGTGGTTGGACCAAAACTGATGGAACAGCTGGAGGTTTTAAGAAGATGATCGTATTGATACTTGTGATATTCGACCACTATTGGTACTTGTACCGCTCTCTGGCTCCACTATGTTGCTGACATTTTTGTTTTATGGCATCATGACCTTAGTCTTTTCCAGCCTTTCCTCTCCTCTCTTAACAATCTGGTTCCTTCTATCAATTTCAAAGTTGAATAGAAATCTAATTCTCTCCTTCCTTTTCTTGACATTTTTAACTTCAGAGCTCTGTGGCCGGTTTCCCTTTCTCTGTCTACCGTAAACCAATGCATAGTTGTATATACATTCACTTCTTTTCTTACCATCCTCCTTCTTTTAAGACAAATGTCCTCGTCTCTCTCTTCCTCCGCGCTCTACGCATCAGTGGCCCTCAGTTTCTAGACTGAAATTCCCTTTATTTGCAGTTCATTCACTCGCCTTGGTTATCCCTTACATTTTATCAACTGTGCCTATTTTAAACGAAATTTCTTTCATCACAAACCTGCTTCCAACGCTAGTACCACTGTCCTCTGCCTTCCCTTCATATCGAAAGTCAATAATTTCACTAATACCCTTCTTTCACTTGACATAAAGCTCACCTTTCGACAAACTAACACACTTCGTAGCAGTCTAGTTCACACTGCTCCTCCTGCTTCTAATGCTGCTGGTGTCTACTCAATTTCCTGTTCGTCTTCTTTCGTTTTTGAAGAAACTGGTCGTATACTAAATTACAGACTTAAGGAACACAAAAGAAGTGTTAAGTCTGCAGACTCAAACAATGCTCTCTTTTGTCAAGTTAGGAACTCTAATCATCCCATTGATTGGTCCTCTTCTGAAATAATCTTTCCTGCCTCTGTATTTCACAGACGCCGTCTTGTTGAATCGGCTCTGATACACAACCTAACCAACATAAACCTTAGTCCTGGCTTTGTTGCTGTTGACTCTTCCCTTTCACAGTACATATTCAAATGCTCCAACCTTCTTAACAAACGGTATCTGACCTAAACCTACACCCTTTTTCTTATCCCCTCCTTTTTTATTATCTTCCACTTATTCTCCCATCATTCCATTCTTCCTTCATCCTATTTTTAAACTCTTTCCTTTCATTATTTTCATTCATCGCTTACCTTTCACATTACCTTCTTTTCTTAACTGTTCCTCGCCTCACTCTTTTTTCTTATATATTTGCCCATACCTTCCTCCTTCTTTACACACTGCGACCCGTTGATGGAGTGGACATAATGCGAACGAAACGTCAAAAGGTTACATCTACATCCCCCCCCCCTTTGACTATCATGCTTTCGGGAAAAACGATATTCTTACGGTCTTGAAGGACGTGGCCAGCATCACACCCACTGACATTAGTCAGGAAGGTGATAATATTGTGCTCTTCTTTTCATGTGAGGAAGAGCTAGAAAAACTCTTGACCAACGAGACCATACTTCGCAAGGAGCACCACCT